TAGACGAGAAAGCTGACAATTACCTACTGCAAATTTGTCACATATATAAAATGTTGCTACTGCTACTCCCAGACTACTGAGACCACCCCCTTCCATTTACTGTACATATTCTTCAGAGAAAGTTAACAACTGAGAACAGTTTTCCCATGATGAAAATGAGCATGCTTCTCTGTACATCTTTTTATAGGCTAGTCACTTACTTTCTGTAACAGGCATGAAAGTGTAAAATTAAATGTTACAATTAGATCTTTTAGGAAATGTTTTAAAACATACTAATATATTTGTAAATAAACCCCGAACAGCACTATAATATAACACTAATTTTGTTTGGTGGGTTATCTTTGTCTTATTTGAGGTTTGAAAGTCAAATTTTATTCTTGATCACACAGCATGAACCTCTTCACCTTCTAGATGGGAATTTTGCTCATTGTCTCACACAAATGGCTCCTTCTGGCTATCCCATAACTGACCACTGATAATATCAGGTCTAATTGGTCTAGTATATGTTGGTTTGAATACAGATTTTTTCTATTGATGTCCTGTAGTTCATCTGGCAAAAGAGAAAAAGGGAATTACAAAACAGTACTATCTGTCTTTGAAAGGCAAAAATACAAAGTAGAGATTAAAGAGTTAACACAAACATTATTTTTGGCCCTCGATCTCTTTATTTTTTATGTCTGGAAACCATTCAGTGTACTCTCTGAATGCAAACAAAACAAAAGCTCTTTTTTGGCATCTATACCTGTACTATACAAAGACTGGTGGAGGTCATGTATTGAAAAGATGATGTTATGCAAATTAAATGAGAGGATTTGGGAGAGTCCTGTTTTGCTATTTGTCCCTCTATTTGCTTTTCAAGCACTGATGCACACAGAATGAAACAGAATCCAGAGCATCTTTAATCCTACTGTTACTTATCCTCATCTCTCCACAGCAATTAACAATTCGGTAGTACTCAGTACAAAACAGGATACAGCTGAGAGAGCACCTATATTCTGTGATTAAAGTCTTTCATATATGCTAACTGAAAATCCTTTCAGCATGCAATTTCAGTTGCCTTTTCAATTCCACCTGGTAAAAGCTTAGATTCAAAGAGTATGATGTTTATAGAAGCTTCCAGTCTTACCCCTATACAGTCCTCCTCAGATGATGAAATAAAGAGAAGCCCTATTTTTCTTCTATGAATATAAGCCTATCTCTGTTATTTTAGTGAAAATATCAAGTGAGCTCTTATCACAGGATTTATTAGAAATTAACTCAAAAATTATTGAGAGCAAATTCTTGTATTTCAGTAGCTGATGAATATGCAGTATTTTACCCATAATGCCATATCTTTTGCCATTTAAACTGCAGGACCTTCAACTGATTCTGAGCTTTTGGGTATGACTACATATGCCAGCTGCCTTGACTCCGTGTCAGGGCAGAATCCCAACCTTATTTCTATGATGAAGATATACAAAGAGATAATCCAGGACGATGCTGTAGCACACTTTGAAATACTCTGTTTGGAAGAGCAGGATCCTGGGCATGTCACAGCACACAATTATCACAGTTTTAGTGTAGCTCAACAGGGAAATAAAACATAGGCACTCTTTCAAGTTTTTTATATTAAAGAATAATTAAACTTTCCCAATATATGTACTCTTGAGTAGAGCAAATTTAAGACAACTTAAAATTAATGCTTTTCTTAGATACCTTTGAAGTTAAGAGTTAAGATTTTTCAGAAGTTAAGAGTTAAGATTTTTCAGTAGTTAAGAGTTTTCAGAACAGCTCTTTCAGTCAGCTAAAAATATAAGCTATTATACTGTAAAAATATATATATATAAAGCCTTATATATACCACATTAAATGACATAAGAAGTAAATGAAGTTAAAATTTTATCCTTTTTTCTAAGACACATATTCCACAGACTGCATTATTTCTTTTTGCAGAAAAAAAGGCAACATAGTTCTTGATCTACACCAATAATTAAATGTATTAATATACATTACATTAATTATGAATTAAATATCAATTAAATAACAGTACAAAATAACTGACAGATGTCCATCTTTTTTTTTCTTGTAATATCTTGAACTAAAACAATATTGGAGTGCTTACTGTAGTTTATAGTTTATATGATACCCATTGCTTTCTCTAAACTAAATTCAAAACAAAGAGATGACAAAGAAAGATCTTTATTTTATTGTGTCTTTTTTTGCTTGTTACTTTTGTTTTGTCAGCAACTTACACATCTAGTTCCAGATGAAGTTCTTAGTCCTTTCATGTATGGATTCAATCTAAGGGCCCCTGAACATCGATTAGATCTAATGTTTCTAAATGTATCATTAAAATAAGACAGCTTTCACAAAAACCCGGATACCTTCATCTGCTTCATGCATTCATCAGAGATACGGAATAGATAAACTTTAGAATTCACTTACAACTAAGAGCATCCTATGATTTTATGATTAGGTTCACATACATTTTATAAGGAAAATCTGGTTCTCTGAGTACTGGTTTAATTTTGCTTCCCAAAGGAGTATGGGATTCCACATCAAGACTTATCTGGAAAAGTTCATAGACATGCTTTGCTCTCCTGATACACCAAAAAAGTCAGTAAATTTTTTAATCTGAAAAGATGAACAATTGCCTTAGATAAGGGATGTATATCAGGAAACCCTTACTTCAGTTATCCCTGAAACAGGAATAATAATCTTACTTTGTCTGTTTGGCTTCGTCAATTTTGTAAGCAACTGACATGTGTATACAGCTTAGAATCACGGAAACATAGAATAATTTAGGTTGAAAATTATCTCCAAGATCACAGAGTCCAATTGTTAGAACGCTTTATGGAGTTCTACTTAAAGACAAAACTTGTATTCTTATAACTTCTGCTATAAGAACTGCCGTTTTAAGAAATTTTGTGTTGTCACAAAAATGGCTGAAATTTCAGTAATGATACTCAGCTCACTTTTGTATTTCTCAAGTCTCCTGGCCTTTGGCCTTGTAAAAAAATGATATTCAAATTTCAGTGTAGCAATAAAATGTAGCATTTGGAAAAGCCCTGTATTTTGCTTGCCTTGACATTCTGTCAAGATGGGATTAGTGTTAATTCCCATACACATGGGAACCTTTTTCCTTCTCTTTTACATAACTAGGCACAAGCAATCTTGATCCCTTGGCAGCATAAATCTTCAAGAAGAGTTCAATCCTAATTAAAAGCAACTCCATTTTTTTGAAGCAAAAAAAAATTGTCTCTAGATTTTTTTCAGTGTTTTAGTACAGGAGTACAAAAAACAGAATGTGCTTGAACGGACACACCAAGGACAAAAATAACTGCATCAGTTGAAAAAACTTCCAGCAGAGAAAACACTAATCTTGTTTTGGTAAAAACTGAGGGCAATGATACCATATTAAAAGACTAACACTGGAGAATCACAGGCCTGCTATTCATGGAGAGATTCTTTTCAGCTCATTATCTTAATTTCACTTAAAGCCCACTGTTAAGGAATTATTCCCATATTCATCCTGGAGATGCAGAAATTATTGTTAGTGAATACTGCAATCACATTGGGGTTACATTATATATCTTATTAAAGGGGTCACATTAACCATACAGTGCTGTGTCTTCCAGTGCTTTTCGTTCTGTCTGACAATGCGAGCAAATGACAGGTTTATCTACTTATTTAAAGGTGCTACTTGAAACTGTAAATTAATGCCTTAAAAACCATCAAAACACTATAATTTTGCAGAGGAGTTACAGCACAGGAAGTATTTAATGACATATATTCAATTAATATTTAATTACACAATCAATTATATTGCTGAAGACCAAAAAAGTGACCTAAATGAGTGTTTCAGAGCAGTTTTTTAATTGATTTGTATGCCTGCATACAACTTAATGTTTATAGTGGTCATCTCTATTCATTGTTAAAAGAACGTTAATTTATTTTTTAAACTACGAAAAAAAATAGTTTTGGCAGTAGCTACAGTTTATAATGGAAACAGTAAGACTCTCTTGCACAATACATTTGGAAGAGCGCATCAAACTATAGTGAAATATCAACGTTAACACAACGCAGGAATGTAATGTTGATTTCTTTTATCAGTATGAGGTTGCTACAGGAAAAAAACCTCAATCTTAAAAAACTAATTCTGCTGTATTTTCAATTATATTTGTGCATAAAGATTTTAGCTTACCCATCAGAAGTGTTACTATACAGAAAGAACAAAAAATTGCATTTAACAGAGATCAGTCTAAAGAAAGAAACAAATGCAGATCTCCAGTCATGCTTCTCTTGGCAAATTCACGTCCATGGTGCCCTAAAACCTCATGCTATGACAGCCCTTTATTCAGAAGCACGGAAGATGGTATCACGCTTTGTTTAACAACAACCTTCCAAAATCACCTGGGAGCCACTGAAATACAAATATTCTTAGCCATCACTTTTTTTCCACCAGTTTGTTTCAACTGCAGCAATGGTTAAAGAGGAGTACAAAGCAACTTCATTTTCTAGCAGCCTATTCTCATGCGTGGTCCAAAAGGAAGCTGATTTATTCCTATCAAGCACTTGTCAAACTGACTCATTTATATAATGAAGCCTTTACTAATAGTTCCATAGTGGAACTACTTGCTCCTATGACCAGTAACAAGAACTTTTAAGTTTCCATTTTTTTCTATCACACTTTGTTTTCTTGAATATTCAACTGAAAACATGAAGAAGCAAGGAATGAATTTTTCTTTGTCTTAAATACAGCCATAAGCACCTCGAGGAGCATAAAAGAACAAAATAAGAACAGCAGTAAGTCATACTACAACAGCTCATTTGATAACACCGTGGTATTTTACTACAGGTACAATTTCAAAGCTCTTGGCAAAGAAAACCTTGAACAAAATAAAGCTGGTTTTATTCAAGAATAATCAGTGTTTCTGGTAACTGTAATCTTTGGCGAGCAAAATCTTACCTCCTTCTGGAAATCAGCTGTTAAAAATATTACACGAATTACCATCACTCACCTCTCCTATCACTTCTGGCTGCATTTGTGGATTTTTCAGAAGGGCAAGGGCAACGTCCTTCACATTTCACTGAGATTTGTTTTCCTGAGACACAGGCTTGATACTCTAATTTGCACTGTAAGGAGAGAGAATGACTATCATTAATAAAAACATATAACAGAAAATCATAACTTTAAGAATTTTGAAGCAATTTTTCACTGTGCTTAAATCTTTGCAGACACAGGTGCTAGGAAAAGTTTTCTGCAGTATATGCTACCTTCGTACCAAAAATTAGATTAAATAAAGGTTCAAAGTTTTTGGTCCCTAACCTGGCTACAGTTTCAGACTTGATTCAAGCATGAATGCATGTGTGGTGTAAGACTGATTTTAATATCCATGCTAAATGGAAGTAGAGTGCATTGGTTTTATTTGTAGTATATGAGCAAATAAACACAGTAACAATATTAATTATTGATAGGAACCAATTAACAGTGAATTGTTAAAGAATTTATCACTTAATTTCTGTCTTTAAGATGACAGTATTCTAGTAAAAAGCATTAATGAATAAAATGGAAAGCTGCACCTGATGTAATTCTGCATAGTGACTGTCTTTTCCAGTATGGAAACAGATTAGTTTCGGTGCTTCTGATCTATATGCTTAGAGCTCCAATCAAGAAACCATATAAAAATTAAACGCATCTAACCAAGAAATGGAATTGTTGTATCAAGCACACAAATATAATGTAGCTAAAAACCACATACAGAGAAACTAACATCATTGTACATTGTCGTTCCTTCTGAAAAGCTGAACTTTTATTCCAAAAGAACAGTTCCTTACATAGAGATCTTTCCCTGGTATTTTGTCAGTGTATTATCAGGAAAAACACAAACCCAAAAACAAAGTGGGGGGGGAAAAGCATGTACAAAGAGCTTTTTAAAAAACAAAAAGAGAGAGATGGTTACAGAGAAAACTTCATCCTTGAACAAAAGACGGAAGATATGTCATTAGTCAGGTAAATGACATAGAAATATATGAGTCAGAAAACCAGTTCAAGTAACAAGTAAAAAGTGTTTTCTATGCATCACAACTCTTCAGAAGAACAGTCACACCAGACTTTGTATCTTTTATTCTCTGACTCATCTTTCGTTAGGGTTATCTAACCTCAGTTTAATGCAATTCCCTTATAAAATTATCAGGTTTTCCAGCAAACCACGGAATCAAAGTTTCTCTCTCTCTCCTAAAAATATGTAAGGGGTGGGAGCACTCTAGCCATGTAAGAATCAAGAAGCTTCCTGACAGGCTGCACTTGAGGTTTCCACTAGTTTGCAGATATAAGTGCTGGGAATTTACAGAACTTCATCAACCTTTCATGCAGTCAGACTTCCAGTCCTGCCACACACTCATGCAGTTCTCTACCTAGCATAAGCTGAGCTGCATCACTGTATTGATATAATACCTTTTTGCACTGCCAGTACCAAAAAGAAGACAGAAAAGGATACCACATATTTTATGTATTTCCATAAAATCATTATTATCTGAATAACTGAAGTATACTTTACTTTTTGCCAAAAAGGCACTGTTAAAGTAAAATGACGCTGAAAAAAACTTTTAATTAAAAAAAAAACAAACAACAAAAAACAAACAACCCCCCCAAAAAAAACCCAAAATCAAACCAAACAAGCAAAGAAACCCCCCAAACAAAAAACAACAACAACAAAAAAACCCAAACAGAACTGCTCCATTTGAAAGCTATATAGCCATAACATCTCCTAAAGGACCAAAAAATGGCAGTAAAGCAAACACCTGCCTATGATGATTTTGAAACAATCTTTTGTACCTCTGCACAATTATCCTGGCCGTACAGGAGAGTGCTTGCATTAGCTACGATGCCCACCAGCCCTCTTTGCAAACAGTATCTAATTCACATTTTGATATTCAAAACAATATTTGGAGTTTGTGAAAGGGATTACAGTCCAAATTTAATACGTGCTTCTGTTAAAAAGAGGTAACTTTTCATTTTAAGATCTGAGGATTTTTATTGTTCAATCTTAAGTAGTTTACGGAGTCATACCTACAGACAGCTGTGCTTTAGGTTTTGATTACTCCACTTAGTGAGACTACCACTTAAAACTTGACATATAAACCCATTCCAGATTTGTTTTACTGAGAAGCAAAGTATCAAGAGTGCCAAAAAAAAAGGAATATTTTTTTAATTTCTCACTTAATCTTTTGAGAGATTATTTTTACAGACTCCAGTGCTTCTACTTTGATTCACTTGAATGTAGCTGAAGAGACTAGTAAATAGTTCATAGCTGCTCCAGCTAACATAATGAGTTGTGAGTTTAGTCCTTTTGATTTGTTTTCCTTTAAGTTGTCTACTCAGTCCTATTTGCAAATAACGCTATCTTTTTAAACGTTAAAAAAAAACTTAATGTCCAACACCTGCCACAGGCAGGGGAAACACTGATTGCAAGGTCAGCACACAACACTTCCAAATCAGTACTCCCATTCACAAGTATGATAAAATTTTAAACTCAATGAACTCATTTTATGGGCAAGCAGGCAGCAGAGATATATTCATTGTTTCCAGAAACAAAGGAAAATCATGGTGCTTGCATTAGTCAGAAATGAATCCAGGCTGTTCTGACAAATTCATATCAGCAGCTAATGACACCAGGAACATAACTCTGGTTCAAACATCTTGTCATCATTCCACAAGTAAATAGTGCACTGGGATACTGTTAAGATAGCTCAGCTAAATAAAAACTTTCTTCCATGTTACTCTCAGGCTGGTAGAAGAACAAGCAACATACCTGAAAAACTCCATAGAAAAAGAAATCTGTGACATACAGACTATGAGGACACAAGAAGTAGTGGTAAAAAAGGAGAGGTAGTGTTGAAGACAGTGATGAAATAATTTGGTTTTTGTGGGGAAAATATCTAAATAGTTTAAATAGCAAAAAAATACATGAAATATTACATTATGTATAGCAATAAAATAATGTTTATTTATTTGGCTTTATTAGTGACTTTTCTATGTGGGGAAAATGAAATTGAAAATGAAATTTTCAAGACACTCATCTGTTAGATTTTGTAATATTCCTTACTTAAACTGGTTTTATAAACTGCTAACTGCTTGTGCTACTTTTATCACAATCCCTTATATGCATGAAAAAATTCCATTTAACTTTTGAATAAATCTAGCTTTTTATCTTCTGATCTTGATTCCCCTTTCCTCTTAGATATTAGTTTTCTATGCTGGAGTTTCACCACGTCTCATTTGTATGCTTGATTCTAAGGACACTTCTACTGTATGAATTTTCACATGTTTTGTTTCAAGACAGAAGAGTAAGTATTTTTAACTTCAGAGCAATATGCTTGCACAACGCTTAAGGAAAATAAATCACTTCAATACAGACAAAAACATGTACCACAGGGTCTCTTGGCAATATATTTCAGGATGAAAAATTCCTCATTTCTGTACTGTCAAGTGTCCCATAGAAAAATGCAATTTGTTCACTCATATTCTGCCTGTTTGAAAACCTGTTCAGTCTTAAATGGACTCAACATTCTTCACCATTTACAGAAAGTAGATTGTTTAGTGAACTAGAGATGAGCAATTAAAATCTGTGGGAAAAACTTCAAAGAGTATGTGTCATCTTTAGACATGACTCATGTAGCTTTCTTTACTGTTACAACAGCAAAGATGAGAACAGTTATCTTTCTGGTACAACTACTACAGTGCATGTTATTTTGATATACATGAGCTCTGCTCTTAGAAGTATTATTATAGAGTTTCAAAGATTAAACGACAGTAATATATTTCATTAAGCTCTTCCACCTTCTGTTCCAAAGTAACTGTCAAAGGCTGCCAAATATATCTCTGTATATTGTACGTATAAAGAGCCTAAAGTTTTTTCTCAAGATGAAAAACCCCACCTACTTTTCCATGGAAAAATAATGAAAAAATGAAAATATAAGGAAAAAACCCTACTGGTTTTGCATGCATTTGACTGGCACAAATGCAAAGACAGAATACACTTTATTTATTACATTAAGTTCCAAATATCCTGACTTCCCTTGTATTTGTAAACCAAGTTCCAGGTAAAAATTATACATTTTTATATATATATAAAACTTTTTGATGACTTCAAATATTCAGGAAACCTCTACAGAAAGGAGTAATATGTCAGGACATATATATATGTGTCATCTATACACAGGTAAAATCTCTATGTTGAGTGAAAAAGAACATTTAGAGAATACTTATATGGTCTAGAAGTTTTCAAATTAGTTGAATTTTATATTTCCAGCCTTGCATACTTGAACTGGCTGAGCAACTTCACAGCCTTTGAGAAACTCTGAAGGACAGATTGCAAGTAGCTGGATTTTACCAAGGCTCATCACACTCTTTTACATTGCAACCTATTAAGCCATATTATGGTTATTTGTGTGCATCTATTGTAATATGAATATCAAACTAGTTGCAAGTGATCCTCCAAGAGTAGCACTCAGTGTCTCAAAATCGAAGACTGCACTTGGTGGACTTTAGCAAGGCTAAGTCACAACCATGGAACTATTCTGTCTTTTAATTTCCCCTAGGAAAATGCTTTTGAAGGTGCTGGGGTCCACCAGTGATGCTCACTTTTTAAATACCACCTCATAAAGGCACAGGAGCAGGAAATTCCCAAATGTTGGAAGTCAAGCAGGCGAGGAAGAAGGCCGGCCTGGCCGAGCAGGGATCTTCTGGAGATAAGGTAAAAAAAGAAAGTGCCCAGTGAAAGCAAGTCGGGTAACATGGGAGGACTAAAGAGATGCTGCTTGCCACTGCAGGGAGAGAACACGTGGCCAAAGCTCACTTAGAGTTGAAGTTGCCCAGTACTGTCAGGGACAGTAAAAAGGGCTTTTAAAAATACATTGATAGTAAAAGATACATCACACAAGTATCGCTGGCCAGTCAAAGAAGGTGATTGTCCTTCTCTGCTCTGCACTGGTGAAACCTCACCTTGAATACTGTGTGCAGTTTTGGGCACCAAAATATATGACTGATATGAAGCTACTAGAAAGTATCCACAGGAGAAACAGAAAGATGGTGAAGGGCCTTGAGGGGAAGTCGTATGAGAAGTGGTTGAGGT